ACTGTTCCCTCCTGGTGGAATAACCTGCCCAACTCAATCAAAACCCGAGTCCTTAACCATCTACAAGAAACAACTATAAACACATCTGTTCCACCTTTATTTGACCCTCTAACAATTTTAATTCTACTTTATCTATACTTATCTTTATATAAAAACAACAAACAAACACTTTCTATTCTATCTACTTGTTTTTCTTTGTGTGTGTATAATATATATACCTTGCTACGTGTAATGCATTAGGCTAACTGAGACTTGTCATTTATATATTGTTGCTCTTTTGTTAGTTTTGACTGCTTTTATCCGTCACGGAATGCCAGGAGAAAACAAGGTATGTTCCAAGTGCAGTTTATTAGAAAGTAACAACATAACAGAACAAAAACGGTGCAAAAGGTAATCCAAAACCTGACCACAGAAAACACAAACTGAGAAGACAATACAATCAAGACGCAAATGACATACAGAGAAAGCATGATATATATAGCTGGGATAATGAGTAAATGATGAACAGGTGTTACAGATCAGACCAGGATTAATGAACAGGGGACTATGGGAAATGGAGTTTAACACAAACAACATAGAACAGAAGAGCGCCCTCAAGTGACCAGTCCAGGGCACCACAACCAAACACTGTGACATTACCCCCCTCTACGGAGCGGATACCAGACGCTCCACCAGAAACACAAAAGTTCAGGAGGGAGGTGGAATAGAGGCGGACCAGGGGGAGGGATGGCGGGCCAGGACCAGGGGACAGAGATAGACCAAGGCATGAGCATAGAACCGGCAGGGTGAAAGGCCAAGGCGGGACCGGCAGGATGGACCAGCAAGACGCCAACCACACAGGACTCCCAGCAGATGGATGGAGCCGGAGGAGTGAGCCAGTGAGGCTCCTGCCATACCAGAACCCAGGCGGGCAACCAGGACGGAGCCAAAATCCTGTCAGGCAACATTGGTGGGAGCGAAATCCCTCTCAGCAACTCAGGAGTACCTGAAAACAAGAGCAGAGAGAGTTTAGTCTCAGCGGACTCTGTGGGCTCCCGGAACGGAGC